TGGAGTTACATCAACGAGAAGCACATCTTGAATTTTACTATCGGTTTCACCGCTGAGAACGGCTGCTTGGACAGCTGCGCCATAAGCAACCGCTTCATCTGGGTTAATTGATAAATTCAAAGCTTTGCCGCAAAAATAATTTTGTAGGAGAGATTGAATTTTTGGGATACGCGTTGAACCTCCCACCAATACAATATCGTGAATGGAACCTTTATCCATTTTGGCATCTTGCAAAGCTTTCTCGACCGGATGCAAAGTTCCTCGGAATAAATCCGAACACAATTCTTCAAATCTAGCTCGGGATATTTTGGTATAAAAATCAACACCTTCGTAAAGGGCATCTATCTCAATGGATGCTTCAGTGCTAGAAGAAAGTGTTCTTTTAGCTCGTTCAGCTGCCGTTCTTAAACGTCGAAGTGCGCGGGGATTACTTCTAAGATCCTTCTTGTATTTTCGTTTAAACTCCTCGGCTAAATGATTAACCAGCCTATTATCGAAGTCTTCTCCACCAAGATGAGTGTCACCGGCCGTTGCTCTTACTTCAAAGAGGGATCCTTCATCTATTGTTAAAATTGAGACGTCGAAAGTACCTCCCCCAAGATCGAAAATTAAAACGTTTCTTTCTCCCTTCAGATTTTTATCTAAACCGTAAGCTAAAGCAGCGGCTGTTGGTTCATTAATAATTCTTAATACATTTAATCCAGCAATTGCGCCCGCATCTTTAGTGGCTTGACGTTGGGAGTCATTAAAGTATGCTGGAACAGTGATGACGGCATCTTTCACGGAACAACCCAAATACGCTTCGGCCGTTTCTTTCATTTTCGTCAAAACCATCGAGCTAACTTCTTCCGGTGCAAATCGTTTCGATTCGCCCTTAAATTCAACTTGCATTTTCGGTTTTCCCCCATCATTAACAACTTTAAAAGGCCAATGTTTGATATCGTCTTGTATTTTTTGATCGTCGTATTTTCTTCCGATTAATCTCTTCGCATCGAAAATTGTGTTGATGGGATTTATCGCAACCTGGTTCTTCGCCGCATCTCCAATTAAACGTTCTGTGTCTGTGAACGCCACATAGCTTGGTGTTGTGCGATTACCTTGATCGTTTGCAATAATTTCCACTTTTCCTTGTTGCCAAACTCCGACGCAGGAATAGGTGGTTCCTAAGTCGATACCGATTGCTGGTGCTTTTACCATTTTGTGTATTTTTCTTGTGTTTGTAGATTAAACAAATTCGAATAATTTAATATTATAGTTGAACTGTTTTTAGTACTCTGTTGGTAGTTCGCTTTGATTTGCTCACTATCGTGTTTGAAACGAAACTGAATTGGCGACGGGACGGTTCGCTTTTATACTCACCCGATTGAGTTCGCGATATTTCTCGATCGTTCTCGAACGCTCTAAACAGAGGTTGTGTGAATCGAGAGTATTCGCGCGGTATATTCTAGATTTTTGGTGATGTAATGATAAAAATAAAAACAAATGGAAATTATTCCAAAAAATCATTTCGAATTTATTAAGTTTAATTAAACAATGATTTAAAATTAATCCTGTATTTATGTTAGCGATTTGAACAAACATTGTTGAATATTGTCATTGTTGTGTCGCTCAATAAAGTTCCAATTAAAAAAATCCTTGTAAATCCTTTATTCACACTATTCTCATCTGTTAAAAGATTTGTTGTGGCCACTGATATGGACATATGAAATGATTTCATCACTCGCGATATCAGAAATAATTTCCAAAAATTTAAATAATAATATTTTAAGAGACGAAATAAAACAAACTTATTGGTTAATTAGCAAAATTACATCCTACATTCAAAATCTGTTAAGTGTAAATCTAACAAAAGAAGATACAAATAGTTGGAAATTAGAATTAATAAATATTATTAATATACAGGCTAATAAAGAAAAACTTTAACAATACAAATTTATGTAATAATGAACACATAATTGAATATAATAACTTAATTTAAAAAAATAAAGTAACGAATTTAACAAAAGAAAAAATACCTAATAACATTATTAATGTATTATCTCTAGGAGAAAATTTTTGCTATGATGTTAATAATATTAAAAAGAAGTTACACAAAGATATCATGCTACTCATAACCGACATAGAAAGGATTTTTACTCTGGTTAAAACATCTGAAAACCACATAAATATAACACGAAATTCGATAATAAATGAATTGACAAATTTTTAAAAAAAGAGTAAATTGCGAAATTAAAAAGAGTAAACATATTTTTCATAAAACAATTAACAACAATTTAAAAATGTTAAAACAATTCTTACTAGATCAGAAAGACATAATAATGATAAAGACAGATAAAACAAAAAAGATAGCTATCATGTACGATAAAGATTATGACAATAAAATGAATATTTTACTAAGTGACAAAACCACTTATAAAACAACTAGAATTGATCCAGGACCATCACTGACAGATAAAATAAACGATCATTTAAAGAGACTAGAAAAAAATGGATACATAGATAAGCAACTTAAATTAGGGCTGGCCCCATCTCATTATGTTACTCCACGTATCCACGGATTGCTTAAAGCACACAAAATAGACCAACCTTTACGACCAATTTTAAATAATATAGACGGACCTACTAGCCACCTCTCTAAGTTTCTTAACAACTCATTAAATAATTATAAATAGCTTGAACGACTACGATATAAAAAATTCTGTAGAATTAATGAATAAATTGAAGACTTTACAAATAGAAAATGTACATAATTGTGAAGGTCTAAGTTTCGATGTAATTTCTCTCTTTACTAATATACCTTTGAGATTAATGATAGAATTGTTAGAAAAGAATTGGCATAACATTGTTGATCACACAGTAATTAAAAATAAAAATCTGTTTATAGAAGGAATTAAATTATGTACACATATAATAGTTATTTTAAATATAAAGACATATATTATAAACAGATTTTCGGACTATCCATGGGTTCCAACCTTAGCGTAAATTTGAGTGGAATCGTATTGTTAACCTACTAAAAACAAAATTAATTGAAACACAAAAAAAACCAATACTATTAGTTAAATATATCGATGATCTACTGTTAATATTACCAATTGATAAATACAAAACCTTATTGGAAGCGTTTAATAATTATAATAATAGATTAAAAATTACAACAAAAACAACAAAAAATAATGAACTACCTTTTTTAGTCTTAAAATTAATTATTGATAACAGTAAAAATAAAATTTACACTACTTGGTATAAGAAAGAAACTTCCAGTAACAGAATATTACACTATATGAGTAACCACCCAAAGTCACAGATAATTAACACCATGAACAATCTAATACGTAGAGTCATATCAGTAACAGATCCACCTTTTTTAAAACAAATTAAATTAAAAGTATATGACATACTATTAGAAAACTCTTTTCCTAAACCAATAATAAATAATGCTTGGTATTCCATATATCATAGAATCCAAAATGAAAGCGTTGATCGCGCATTGGCGGAAACGACTGATGTACCATTAAATATTAACACAAATATAAATACTCAATCATCTCATAATTACAACCTTAGATCTAGAGTTGAAAATAAAAAAAAAAGAAACTTAATAACTAATTACATGGAAGTAATAAAACCGACCATACCGGAAAATACAAACAAGCAAAATCATTTGAACAATGATAAGACCAAAAAACGAACAGAAAGAAAATCTAATACATCATATCACAAAATAAATTACATTCCACAATTAACAAATAAAATAACATCTATTTTTAAACAATATGAATTTAACGAGATAGGATTCGCCAAATATAATAATAACAAAGTAAAGGATTACTTAACAAACATGAAAGATAAAATAAAAATAAAGGACAAAATTAATACAATATATCAATTAAAATGTAACAATTGTGACAAATCATACATTGGTGAATCAAAACAACATTTAAAGAAAAGACTGCGACAACATGAATACGACACAAAACAAATAAAAAACATACATAAAACAGCTCTATGTTATCATAGTAAACAAGAACACCATACTTTTAATTTTGATAACCCAAAAGTATTATCAACTAGTGGAAATACACTAAATAGAAAAAATTTAGAATCTATATTTATAACAAAAAACATTGATAGCACAGTGAATTATAAAACGGACGCTGATGGAATCGGAATAATTCATGATTTAAATATATAAAATTTCTTTTAACAAATTCCATAAAAAGATATAAAAATATACAAGTTGAGGTAATACAAGAATACGTTTTCCCCCACCTGAGTAGGTATACAAGTTTTCGATACACGTTTCAAACAACATGGAATTTATTCCATCGATAATTTTGCAGTTAGCGACACGTGATATCGTCAAAATAAAATTTACAATGTAAGATTGCCTAAGAGGGTACGTAATTATTTATAGGAATATAATTTTAAACGTTTTAAATTGTTGTATTTGGTATGTCGTTGTATAGGTTTGATGTTTTAATTTAATTTTAATTTTATAAAAAATAAAAACAAATTACTACTGAGAAGAGGTGTTTTATATACATGATTTCCATAATGTTTTTGTTTTTAATGATTTTTTATTCTTCGTTATTATCAATTAAAACCCGCACATCCACATTTTTCTAAAGGGTATTGCTCAACATAATCGATGGACTGGTAATGGTGGTTCAAATAATATATTATTTTCAATTATAAATTTCTAAATAAAAATAATTCAGTAAATAAAACCGGAAATTCCCACTTCTTTCCATTCCTTTCCATTACATAAACGAGAGTCTAGAATGCAACAAGAATATTCTCGATTCTAGCAACTCCGAATAGCATTATTTGTCTGAAAACGTTCGAGAATGTTCGAGAAACGTCGCGACCTCAATCGGACGAGTATAAAAGCGAACTCTCCCGGCGCCAAATCAATTCTATTTCAAATACGATAGTGAGCGAATCAAAGCGAACTTACGACAGAATACCAAAAACAGCTCAACTACAATATTAAATTATTCGAATTTATTTAATTTATAAGTACAAGAAAAACAATTAAAATGGTAAAAGCACCAGCAATCGGTATCGACCTAGGAACCACCTACTCCTGCGTCGGAGTTTGGCAACAAGGAAAAGTGGAAATTATTGCAAACGATCAAGGTAATCGCACAACACCAAGTTATGTGGCGTTCACAGACACAGAACGTTTAATTGGAGATGCGGCGAAGAACCAGGTTGCGATAAATCCCGTCAACACAATTTTCGATGCGAAGAGATTAATAGGAAGGAAATACGACGATCAAAAAATACAAGACGATATCAAACATTGGCCTTTCAAAGTTGTTAATGATGGGGGAAAACCGAAAATGCAAGTTGAATTTAAGGGCGAATCGAAACGATTCGCACCGGAAGAAGTTAGTTCGATGGTTTTGACGAAAATGAAAGAAACGGCCGAAGCGTATTTGGGTTGTGCCGTGAAAGATGCCGTCATCACTGTTCCAGCTTACTTTAATGACTCTCAACGTCAAGCCACTAAAGATGCGGGCGGAATAGCTGGATTAAATGTACTAAGAATTATTAATGAACCAACAGCCGCTGCTTTAGCTTACGGTTTAGATAAAAATCTAAAAGGAGAAAGAAACGTTTTAATTTTCGATCTTGGCGGAGGTACTTTCGACGTCTCAATTTTAACAATAGATGAAGGGTCCCTCTTTGAAGTAAGAGCAACTGCCGGTGACACTCATCTTGGTGGAGAAGACTTCGATAATAGGCTGGTTAATCATTTAGCCGAGGAGTTTAAACGAAAATACAAGAAGGATCTTAGAAGTAATCCTCGCGCACTTCGACGTTTAAGAACGGCAGCTGAACGAGCTAAAAGAACACTTTCTTCGAGCACTGAAGCATCCATTGAGATAGATGCCCTTTACGAAGGTGTTGATTTTTATACCAAAATATCCCGAGCTAGATTTGAAGAATTGTGTTCGGATTTATTCCGAGGAACTTTGCATCCAGTCGAGAAAGCTTTGCAAGATGCCAAAATGGATAAAGGTTCCATTCACGATATTGTATTGGTGGGAGGTTCAACGCGTATCCCAAAAATTCAATCTCTCCTACAAAATTATTTTTGCGGCAAAGCTTTGAATTTATCAATTAACCCAGATGAAGCGGTTGCTTATGGCGCAGCTGTCCAAGCAGCCGTTCTCAGCGGTGAAACCGATAGTAAAATTCAAGATGTGCTTCTCGTTGATGTAACTCCATTGTCATTGGGAATTGAAACAGCCGGTGGTGTTATGACCAAAATTATCGAGCGCAATAGCAGAATTCC